GGGTGTGGGGGTGGGGCTGGTAGAGATGGGGTGGTAATTTTTTTTTTCACATTTTTTTGGGATAGGGGGGTGGCTGGTAGGGGTGGAGTGAAGTGACAAAAAATACTTTAATTTTTGTTTTTTGTTTTTAAAGCTTTTAACAAGATTTCTATTATAATATGTGTAAATATGGATATCCATATTATCCATGGAGTAACTCGTTTTACCCATTTAAAATGTGAGTCGTGTCGAGTAACTTAAACTTATCCATTTTTGTTTAATTCATTTTTTGATCGACTCATATTTAATTCGACTCGCTCGTTACTATTCAACTATCTTTACGTATTTTTACAAACTTAGTGAAAAAAATAGTCAAATTAAATAAATTAACTTCCACTTTACGGCGTGAGTCTCGTTTATTTTCTTGGTATACAATTGCGTGCTCTAATATTTGATTTGTTAGCTTTATATTTTAATTTTTCTTCGGTAATATAAAAAAGTAGGGATAGTTTGGTAATCAATTTATATGGTGAAAGAGACTCCTATGAAAATTTGGTAATCAATTTATATTTTAACTTTAATTGGTTACCAACTATTTTTTTCACATTTCCATTTTTTGAAGAACTAAAAAAATGAAAAAGAAGAAAATAAAAATAGAGGAGGGGTGGGCAGATGGGAGGGAAGTGGTGGGGGTGATGAGTGAAAAGTAAAATTGTGCAAATGGACCCACTTATCCAAATGTCAAAAATTGAATGGAACCTCACATAACTATTGTTGGCTGGACCTCTATCATTTTAAATTTTTTCTATATTATCCATTGGGTAACTCGTTTTATCCATTTAAAATGTGAGCCGAGTCGAGTAAATTATCCATTTTTATTTAACTCATTTTTTGATCGATTCATATTCAATTTGACTCGCTCGTTTGCCACTCTTAGCGTGATTAATCCCGTAGTAGATGAGTCAAGTAAAGAACTTTTAGAACGCTGTAAAGGAGGTTGCTTTATCGAATGGGAACAAATAAACAATAATTGGTGTTCTTTAAATTAACAAGTGGCCGTCATTATTATACCTACCCACTAAATCATTTTAAATAAACAATGACTTCGTAAGTCAAAATAATTTATTAAATACAACAAGATTTTTATAAATACATATGATTCTTGAATTATATCCTCTCTACTTGTTCAAAAATTATTTTTGTTTCAATTCCTCTCAATATTGACTTGATGGAAGCTTATACTGCTGTAATTTCTCTTCTTAGAACTCTTGATCAACCATATATTTCAAAACTCTTTCATGGTCGCACTGCTAATGCGCTTGATTCTCTTCGTGCTACAGCTGAATATTTCCATGATGTTCTTGAAAAAGCTAGCAATAAGAGTGGTGTTGACATTGAAAAAATCAAATCTTTGGAGGAAGAAATTAGAATTGTTGTTAGTGAGGCAGAGGATGTTGTTGAAATGAAAATTTCAAAAATCATCAAAGGCGACAGATGGACATTTCGAATTTTACCACACCATGATATGCTACCAGTTGTTGAAAAAATGGATACCACAAAGAAACAAGTGATGGAGATTCTTTCTCATGATGCTGATCAAATTCTTGAATTAACTGGCGCTTCATCTATGAGTGATCCAATGTTGTCAGGTCACTTGAAAGATGATATCGTGCAGGGACTTGATGGTGACTTGGAGATAATAGATAAAAGATTGAGAGGACCAACGTCGTATCTAGACATTGTCACCATATCAGGTATGGGTGGCATTGGCAAAACAACACTCGCTAAAAAAACTTATGATCATCTTCAAATCAGGCATCACTTTGACATTTTTGTTTGGGTTACAATATCTCAAGAATTTCGATATAGAAATGTATTGTTAGAAGCTTTACATTGCATTTCAAAGCAAAGAGTTAATGTGAACACAAAAGATTATGATAAGATGAATGACAGTGAGTTAGCTGATCTGGTGCAAAAGAGTCTAAAGGGTCCTAGATACCTTGTTGTTGTTGATGATATTTGGAGTAGGGATGTTTGGGATAGCATATCACAAATATTTCCTAATCGCAACAATGGGAGTCGAGTCTTATTGACTACTAGGGAAACTGATGTAGCAATCTATGCAAATACTAGTATCCATCATAAGATGAACCTCTTGGATTTAGATAATAGTTGGAAGTTACTCCGTGATAAGGTGTTTGGACTAGAACACGATCATCCTCCCGAATTGGAAGAAATTGGAAAAAAATAGCAGAAAAATGTCAAGGACTTCCCTTAATAATTTCAGTGATTGCAGGGCATCTCTCTAAAACGGTGCCCAAGACATTAGAAAGTTGGAAGTATGTTGCCAAAACCTTAAGTCAAATCATTGCTAGTCATCCAAATAATGCTTAGGAGTGCTCGGTTTGAGTTACCATCACTTGCCTAATCGACTCAAACCATGCTTTCTTTCTCTGGGTGATTTCCCAGAGGATTTTCAAGTTGATACTCGGAGATTGATCCAATTATGGATCGCAGAAGGTTTCATAAGGACGTCTTCCGGAAGTCGTGAAAGCTTGGAGGAAGTGGCTGAACATTATTTGGAGGATCTTATCAGCAGGAACTTGATAATGGCTAGAAAAAGAGATTCAATGGTGAGGTAAAAGTATGCGGAATACATGATCTGCTGCGTGAGTTCTGTTTGATAGAAGCTGAAATGACAAAGTTTATGCATGTTGTGAGAACTCCATTGTCACCAGCACAAAAGCCTAATTTTCGTCGCTTCAGTATTCAAGAGTATATTGAGGATCCTTATAAGCTCTTACCCCGTGTAGCCAGATCTATCTACTGCTTTTCTTACTTGGGTCTACCTTATGATCCCCATATTAAGCTTCTCCCTAGATTGCCCATCTACCGTCATGATCCTAGATTACTTGGATTTTTCTCTTGTTTCAACCATCTCAGGGTATTGGCCATCGTCCTTAACTGCTTCCACTCATTTCCACTTGTGATTACAAAGTTATTTCATTTGAGATATCTCCAAGTTCGATGTTTTGGAAATATTCCTAAATCAATCTCAAAGCTTTTGAATTTGCAAACTCTAATTTGTGATGGTAGTTCTTTAGATATAACTTTACCTAGGAAGATATGGATGTTGAAGAACTTGAGGTATATACGTTTAGGGGCAGCCACTTATTTACCGAGTCCTAGAATAGGTAACAATCTTGTGACAGGGATGCCAAATCTAGAGGAACTTTACGGTATTTGTTACTCTAGTTGTACAAATGAAGTCATTTCTAGCACTCCCAATCTAAAGAGATTGATCATTCGTGCACATTTTATCGCACTAATGAATTTTCCGGGTCGTCCCTTCGATATGTCCAGCTTGACAAAACTTGAGACATTCAAGCTTTACTGGGAAGTTTATTTGGAAGACCCCATCAAGATATTTGTTTTTCCAGAATCACTTAGAAGATTGTCTTTAACTTGGTGTTATGAAGCTCTTACCCCCTGTAGCCAGATCTATCTACTGCTTTTCTAACTTGGGTCTACCTTAATGATGATGTATGGAAATTGAGTGACAAAGACATATTCAGAAGCTTGAAGTTGTTGTTACTGAGCTACCCAAATCTTAAGGGTTGGGAAGCAAGCAGCGATAACTTCCCTAATCTAAAACGCCTTGTTCTGAAGAAATGCGAGGACCTGCAAGAAATTCCAACAGATTTCGTGGAAATTTGTACTTTGGAATCGATTGAGTTACATGATTGCACCACTACTGCTGAGGATTCTGTCAGAAATATCGAACAAGAACGAGAGGACATGGGATATAATATCCTTAAGGTCTACATCCATAACAGCCACAGTAAGTTATAATTCTCTCTGAAAAGTTCTTCGATTCTTCACATTATTTAAAACCTCATTTTTATTAAATCATACCTCTTTGAAATTAAGATGATAAAGCATGTTTAATACATGTCTCGGCCAATTGTGTTTTTGTATTTTGTAAACAGTAACTAGTGATGTACTCATGTAACTATTTTGTTTTATGTGATAGTTCGAAATAAATAAGGATGTTCAATCTAATATGGATTGCCTATGGAGTATACGAATTCAGAACCTTGTACTTCATATTTTTGTTTTTATATTCTGATCGTTTGTTAATTTCATGTTTTAGGAATAAGCATGTATAATACATGTTTTTCGTTGATGGACGGTGCTTTATGTGATTGATATCGATAACATTTCTCATGGATGGTACTTGGTAGTAACAGTATGTAATGGTGGTCGGCAGTAGTAGTTGCTTTCGGCAGTATGTAATGGTGGTCGGCAGTAATAGTTGCTGTCGGATTATAGTTAATAGTAGTGGTGAATGATGTCAGTAATTGGGAATATATTATGGTAATTATGTAATTATGGTTAATGATGATGATTGTAAACATTCCTTACATTCATTTTTAAGATAGTGAATCCAAATCACCAAGGGAACGAAAAGGCTGAGAGCTATTAGGAATGATAAAAAATTAAAAAGAAGAAAACTTTAATCAAATAAAAATAGACGGAAACAACACAACACATCTCACACACAACTGGCATTGATAAACACTAAGTTGGTGATAGAAATAAATTAATGGGTGCTGTTGCATTCTGGGATTAAAAATTCAAACACCACACTATCTTCCAGACATTATGATATCAGAAATGTTTATCAAGTTATCAATCACCCAAGTTGAGCATTAGGCATGAATAATAGGGATGGCAAAATAGGTAATTAATATGGGTATCCAGTCATGTTTACCCATTTTAACTGGGTTGGGTATCCAACTCATTTAGAAATGGGTAAAAATGAATAATATCCATATTACCCATTTAAAAGTGGTAGTTAAATGAATAAAAGATTTGCATTCACACACACAAAAAAAAAGTGATAAAGGGTGGGGTAGTACGAAAGTCTTTTTTCTTTAAAAAAAAAAATCTATAAAAAAAATGAAACCTTTTTTTACATTTTTTTTTTGGATAGGGGGGTGGGGGTGGGGGTGCTGGTAGGGAGTGAGTTGGTAAATTTTTTAAAATTTTCTTTTTTAATTTTTTGGTAGGGAGCGTTGGGAGGGGGGCTGGTAATTTTTTTTTTTGAAAAGAAGATTTAGATTTTTTTTAATGAAAAACAGTTGACCCATATTTACCCATTTCCACGAGTAAATGGTGCTCAACTTTATAATTTTCATCATTCTCCCATCTGAGAATAGACTTCTCCTGGAGTCTCTTCTTGATCGAGAATATTGATTTCTTTGCCATGCTTATTTTCTTAATTCTTTAATTTTCTTACAATCTAAGTATGTACAGACTTTAGTACCAGTGTGAATTTTCAGGCTACAGTATGATATTCTCACTAGTATAGTTTCTATCTATGAAGCCTTGCTAGCCTTTGTATCTTAAACAATCCGAGAAGTCAATATTAGCCAAATTATGTGCTTTCTACCGAACTCTGTCAGTGTTAGCCAATTAATTTTCTGCATTTTCAATAATATTGTCACTATTTCAACAACAACCACAACAACATACTAGTGTAGTCCTACACATTAGGGTCTAAGGAGGGTAGAGTGTATGCAGACCTTACCTCTACCTCAAAGGTGAAGTAGACACGGTTTTCAATAGACCTTCGGCTCAAGACAAAACCAGTCTAGAAAAAGACATAATGGAAGTACAGGAGACAATAGATAGTTATAGAACGATATACAACAAAGTAATACAACAACGAACTACACAAAATGATAAATAGGAACAAAAATTGAAGAACAAGAAACTACCAGAGTAGTCCTACGATTATTAGTAAGGGCAACAAGAAAAACACTCTTACCTACTAGTATGGACTCACTCCTACCTACTAACCTTCTATCCTAATTTGTGTCCTCCACATCTTCTTATCTAAGGTCATGTCCTCGATAAGCTGCGACTGCACTATGTCTGTCTAATCACCCCTCTCCAATACTTTTTTGGTCTACTTCTAACTCATGAATCCATCCATAACCAACCTCTCACACTTCTGCACTAGGACATACATATATCTCCTCATCACATGCGCGAACCATCTCAAACTCGCTTCCCGCATCTTGTCTTCCCCAAAGTCACTCCCACCTTGTCTCGTATATCCTCATTTTTAATCCTATCTCTCCTAGTATACCCACACATCCATCACAATATCCTTATCTCTGCCACTTTTATCTTCTGAATGTGATAGTTCTTGACTGATCAACACTCCGTCATACAACATATTTGGTCTAACTACCATTCTATAGAGCTTGCCTTTAAGTTTAGTTGACACTTTCTTATCACTCAAAACTTCGGATGCGAGCCTCCATTTCATTCACTCTGCACCAATACGGTGAGTGGCATCCTCGTCATTCTCTCCATTTTCCTAGATAATCGACCCAAGATACTTGAACTACCTCTCTTTTGGATGACATATGACCTGCTTTAACTATGCAAAGATTGGAAATTAATAGCTAGAAAAGCATTGATTTAAGAATTCACCGAAACACTATATTCATCACACCTCCTAATGTAAAGGAGAAAGCACAAAAAGTTTAGGAACTGAGTAAATATTTAAGAGAAAACATGTTCAATTACTAGATGCTCCCTCAATTTCCATATTTTACCCATTTTTACGCGTCAAATATGGGACCTGTTCAATATATCATTCCCCAATTGTTAAAATATTGGCGGATTGATAAAATATGGGCTCAGTTTGCTAGCACTAATGGATATGAATGTTTTGCAGTCGTACAGGACTTGCTATTAAATTAACTGGTACAAACTAATGTGTGCTTGGGAAACTAATTGAATGAATAGCAAGTTCTCTTTGCCAGATTGTTTTCTGATTGCTTGTCTTGTTCAGATGTTTTTATATCAATTTTATTTTTTCTTTTTGCCTTACCATTCTACTTCTACTTGCATGACATATCATGGTTTTCTTAATGTTTTTTTTGAAGTCAGGCCAACTTCATTAATCGTGGTTGTCTTTATGCTTATTCATTCTATTGTTGAGCTGGCAAAGGATAGGCATTGGCGAGTTCGTCTGGCTATAATAGAATACATACCTCTGCTGGCCAGTCAGTTGGGTGTAGGATTTTTCGATGATAGCTTGGCACCCTTTGCATGCAGTGGTTACAGGACGAGGTTGGTATGTGATAAGCTAGTGACTAGATATGGAACCTTTCTTTTTTATTTATAACACAAACAGTAGATATGTAATCTAGAAAATGAGAAGCATAGATACTTTGCTTTTGTAAAGTGAGTGCATCTCTTTCACTTTCTCTTTCAGTGTCAGTGGCAAGGAGGAGGCATTTCTTCTTTTGGATCAAACTAGCTGTAATTTCTGTCTTAGGCCTCATTTTCTTTTACTAAGACGAATAAGACTTGTCTAAATCTGAATATTAAGATGTACATTAAGATTTAGATGTTTCAATATGAATACACTGTAAATATAAAAATGTTGCATTAATATATGAATACTAAATAATTAGGACTATTTATTTTTTTAAAACATCTGAATTTATTAATTGTCTTTATTTAAAAATTATAAATATAAATTTAATAAAATACTAAATCAATCTAATATTAGATCAATAAATATTTTAAAAATTATATGATGGTTGTTGATGGTGATAAATACTAACATGGTGCTGCAAATTAAATTGCGGTATGGTTGTATATCAGTCACCCAACTGCCCATCATTAATATTACACCTACTCTTCTGATTTTACACACTCAAATAACATGGTGTTGGAAATTAATTATAAATACACAAGAGTAGTACATTATTTGATATCTTGAGTTACATCTAAAAAATATTTTTGTTGTAATTCCTCTCCATATTGGCTTGATGGCAGCTTATACTGTTGTAATTTCTCTTCTTCAAACTCTTGATCAACCACATATTTCAGAACTCTTTCATGATCACAGTACTGAAATGCTCAATTCTCTTCGTGCTACAGCTGAATATTTTCAAGATGTTCTTGAAAACACTAGCAATGAGAAAATCAAATCTTTGGAGGAAGATATTAGAGTTGTTGTTAGTGAGGCAGAGGATGTTGTTGAAATGAAGATTTCTGAAATCATCAAAGAAGAAAGCTGGACATTTGGAATTTTACAACACCATGATATGCTACCAGTTGTTGAAAAAATGGATACGACAAAGAAACAAGTGATGGAGATTCTTTCTCATGATGCTGATCAAATTCTTGAATTAACCGCGGATTCCTTGATTGGCACTTCTTCTATAAGTGATCCAATGCTGTCAGATCAGTTGAAAGATGATATCGTGCAGGGACTTGATGATGACTTGGAGATGATAGATAAAAGATTGAGAGGACGAGAGCCAGGTCTAGACGTTGTCACCATATCAGGTATGGGTGGCATTGGCAAAACAACACTCGCTAAAAAAGCTTATGATCATCTTCAAATCAGGTATCACTTTGACATTTTTGTTTGGGTTACAATATCTCAAGAATTTCAATATAGAAATGTATTGTTAGAAGCTTTACATTGCATTTCAAAGCAAAGAGTTAATGTGAACACAAAAGATTATGTTAAGATGAATGACAGTGAGTTAGCTGATCTAGTGCAAAAGTGTCTAAAGGGTCCTAGATACCTTGTTGTTGTTGATGATATTTGGAGTAGGGATGTTTGGGATAGCTTATCACAAATATTTCCTAATCGCATCAATGGGAGTCGAGTCTTATTGACTACTAGGGAAACTGATGTAGCAATATATGCAAATACTAGTAGCCCTCATAAGATGAACCTCTTGGATTTAGACAACAGTTGGAAGTTACTTCGTGATAAGGTGTTTGGACTAGAACACGATCATCCTCCCGAGTTGGAAGAAATTGGAAAAAAAATAGCAGAGAGATGTCAAGGACTTCCCTTAATAATTTCAGTGATTGCAGGGCATCTCTCTAAAACGGTGCCCAAGACATTAGAAAGTTGGAAGTATGTTGCCAAAACCTTAAGTGAAATCATTGCTAGTCATCCAAATAAATTCTTAGGAGTGCTCGGTTTGAGTTACCATCAGGGGCGGATCTATGAAGGGCCTTTGGGGTGCCACGCCACCCCCGAACTTCGACGGAAACTCTATATATACATAGGTATATATACATAATATTTATATAAATATAAAGCGTGCCACCCACAGAACAAAATTGGCTTGTGGTGCCATGGTAGGAGGGCAACTTTAGACGGTTGAGGTTGCGGGTTCGAATCCCATTTGAACCTATTTTTTTGAAAAAATGCTGCTGACGTTTTTAAATAAAAAAAAAGGCCCCAAGCCCCTTTTTTTAAGGAAAACAGCTGCACATTATTTTTATTTTTTTATAATTGTTATTGACATTTTTAATTTAATTGAATATAAAATTAATTTAATCGATAAGTTTATTTGGCACCCACAGACTCTAAATCCTGGATCCGCCACTGGTTACCATCACTTGCCTAATCAACTCAAACCGTGTTTTCTTTCTATGGGTGATTTCCCAGAGGATTTTCAAGTTGATACTTGGAGATTGATCCAATTATGGATCGCAGAAGGTTTCATAAGGACGTCTTCTGGAAGTCGTGAAAGCTTGGAAGAAGTGGCTAAACATTATTTGGAGGATCTTATCAGCAGGAACTTGATAATGGCTGGAAAAAAAAGATTCAATGGTGAGGTAAAAGTATGCGGAATACATGATCTGCTGCGTGAGTTCTGTTTGATAGAAGCTGAAATGACAAAGTTTATGTATGTTGCGAGAACTCCATTGTCATCAGCACAAAGGCCTAGTTTTCGTCGCTTCAGTATGAAAGAGTATTATTCTGTTGAGGATGCTTATAAGCTCTTACCCCCTGTAGCCAGATCTATCTACTGCTTTTCTTACTTGGAACTACCTTTTGAACCCCGTATTAGGCTTCTCCCTATATTGCCCATCTACCGTCATGATCCTATATTACATGGATTTTTCTCTTGTTTCAACCATCTCAGGGTATTGGCCATCTTCCATGTCTGGTTCAGCTCATTTCCACTTGTGATTACAAAGTTATTTCATTTGAGATATACTCCATCAAGATTGTTTTTCCAAAATCACTTAGAAGCGTGTCTTTAACTAGGTGTTATAAGTTTATTTGGGAAGAGATATCATCAACTTTTATCAAGTTGCCACATCTTGAAGAGCTCAAACTTAAATATTGTCAAGCCGAATATGATATATGGAGATTGACTGACAAAGACATATTCAAAAGCTTGAAGTTGTTGTTACTGAGTCCAGCTAAATCTTAAGCATTGGGAAGCTAGCAGTGTTAACTTCCCATATTTAAAACGTCTTGTTCTGAAGAATTGCAAAGACCTGCAAGAAATTCCAACAGATTTCGGGGAAATTGGTACTTTGGAATCAATTGAGTTACATGATTGCAGCACTATTTCTGAGGAATCTGCCAGAAATATCGAACAAGAACAAGAGTACATGGGAAATAATATCCTTAAAGGTCTACATCCATAACAGCCACAGTAAGTTATAATTCTCTCTGAAAAGTTTTTTCGATTCTTCACATTATTTAAAACCTCATTTTTATTAGGCATAATACACAAATATGCCCTTTAACTTGGCCTCATTTCACATTTATGCCCTTCAACTTTGGATGTGCACAAGTAGGTAATTAAACTTGTATAAACTTGAACAAGTAGACACATGAGTCCTACGTGGCACAATCCACGTAGGATACCACGTAGGACAAAAAATTACATGTAGGACATGTGTGTCTACTTGTGCACTCCCAAAGTTGAAGGGCATAAATGTGATTTGAAGCCAAGTTAAAGGACATATTTATGTTTTATGCCTTTTTATTAAATCATAGTTCTTTGAAATTAAGATGATGGCTTGTACTTTTTATGTTGCATATGCAGGGAATTGAAGCTTATTTTGAGGGATCATCTAATGCTATCTTCCGAATTCAGAACCTCATAGTTCATATTTTTGTTTTTATATTCTGATCGTTTGTTAATTTCATGTTTAAGGAATAAGCATGTTTAATACATGTCTCGGCCAATTGTGTTTTTTTTGTATTTTGTAAACAGTAACTAGTGATGTACTCATGTAACATCTATTTTGTTTTATGTGACAGTTTGAAATAAGGATGTTCAAACTATTATGCATTGCCTATGGAGTATAAGAATTGCTGGTTTCACACTTTGAATCTGTTTTCCTCTGTTCATGTATAATACATGTTTTTCGTTGATGGACGGTGCTATATGTGATTTGAGATGCTGGATATCGATAACATTTCTCATGGATGGTACTTGGTAGTTTCAGTATGTAATCTAGCTTCTAATAGGAATGTCAAAGAGTAGAAATAAGTAGACGATGAATTACATTTAAGCTAAGATATTGTTGGTTACTTAGCTTTCCCATTTAACTGATTGGCATTGACATCCGTTTCCTTAGCTCTTGAATATAGTTCAATACAAGTTCAAGAAAAGAAGATGGTTTATAGACTTGGATTTGACAAATTGTGTTAAAGGGCATAGATGACAGACGAGGCTAAGTTAAAGGGCATCGTCAAGGAACACTTTCAGGCGTTGAACTTCTTCCAACAAATTGTTGAATTCGTCATTTACGCCTTTAATCATCCCCACATTTTCACTTAATAGCTGCAACAAGTTCTCCACCAGAAAGTTCACAACTGCATCTGCCATCTCTCTTGGTTAACAAGTGTGAAAGTATATTTTAGCTATGAGAAGTTCACTTTAAAAAATTGTCAGCAAATATGAATTGAAATTCGTCACTGTTTGTTTTATATCCTGATTTCTTTCATCAGGTACGATCATAATCTACCTTGCAAATACTATGCTATGCAGTATAACCTCATACCTCAACACCATCAAGTACTGTTCATTGTTTTGTGATTATAGAAGATTCAGACTAACTTCAGAATGTCAGGCCAATATTAGAATCCACCCCCATTGTCATCCCTAAGTTTCAGTTACATATTTAAGGAAGATAATTTTCCCGGAGAAAGCTTATTGGTTTTCTGATCACTAGTACTCAAGCTTACACGAAGATGCTTGTTCTGTTTCCAACTTCCAAAAGGATGCAGTAGTGTCTGAAACCTTCCAATTCAAAAATGATTAACTAGAATTCATCTAAAAGCTAAGATACCTGCAATAGCACGTGGAACTTGATAATGGCTAGAAAAAAGAGATTCAATGGTGAGGTAAAAGTATGCGGAATACATGATCTGCTGCGTGAGTTCTGTTTGATAGAAGCTGAAATGACAAAGTTTATGCATGTTGTGAGAACTCCATTTTCACCAGCACAAAAGCCTAATTTTCGTCGCTTCAGTATTCAGAAGTGTATTGAGGATGCTTATAAGCTCTTACCCCCTGTAGCCAGATCTATCTACTGCTTTTCTTACTTGGATCTACCTTTTGAACCCCGTATTAAACTTCTCCCTATATTGCCCATCTACCTTCATGATCCTATAATACATGGATTTTTCTCTTGTTTCAACCATCTCAGGGAATTGGCCATCTTCCCTGCCTGGTTCGGCTCATTTCCACTTGTGATTACAAAGTTATTTCATTTGAGATATCTCCAAGTTCGATGTTATGGCAATATTCCTGAATCAATCTCAGAGCTTCTGAATTTGCAAACTCTAATTTGTGATGGTCATTCTTTAGATATAACTTTACCTAGGAAGGTATGGATGTTGAAGAACTTGAGGTATATACGTTTAGGGGGAGCCACTTATTTACCGAGTCCTAGAATAGATAACAATCTTGTGACAGGGATGCCAAATCTAGAGGAATTTTACAGTATTTGTTACTCTAGTTGTACAAATGAAGTCATTTCTAGCACTCCCAATCTAAAGAGATTGATCATTCGTGTACCTTCGAGCATACTACGCAATATTCCGTATCGTCTCTTGGATATGTCCAGCTTGACAAAACTTGAGACATTCAAGTTTTACTGCGAATTTTATTTGGAAGACTCCATCAAGATTGTTTTTCCAAAATCACTTAGAAGCGTGTCTTTAACTAGGTGTTATAAGTTTATTTGGGAAGAGATATCATCAACTTTTATCAAGTTGCCACATCTTGAAGAGCTCAAACTTAAATATTGTCAAGCCGAAGATGATATATGGAGATTGAATGACAAAGACATATTCAAAAGCTTGAAGTTGTTGTTACTGAGCCAGCTAAATCTTAAGCATTGGGAAGCTAGCAGTGTTAACTTTCCATATTTAAAACGTCTTGTTCTGAAGAATTGCAAAGACCTGCAAGAAATTCCAACAGATTTCGGGGAAATTGGTACTTTGGAATCAATTGAGTTACATGATTGCAGCACTATTTCTGAGGAATCTGCCAGAAATATCGAACAAGAACAAGAGTACATGGGAAATAATATCCTTAAGGTCTACGTCCATAACAGCCACTGTAAGTTATAATTCTCTCTGAAAAGTTCTTCGATTCTTCACATTATTTAAAACCTCATTTTTATTAAATCTTACCTCCTTGAAATTAAGATGATGACTTGTACTTTTTATCTTGCTTATGCAGCGAATTGAAGCTTATTTTGAGGGATCATCTAATGCTATCATCCAAATTCAGAACATTGCAGTTCATATTTTGTTTTTATATTCTGATCGTTTGTTAAATTCATGTTTTAGGAATAAACACGTTTAATACATGTCTCGGCCAATGGGAATTTTGTATTTCGTAAACGGTAACTATTGATGTACTGTAATATCTATTTTGTGTTTGAAATGAATAAGCATTTTCAATTTATTATGTACAAGTTTCACATTTTGAATCTGTTTTCCTCTGTTCATGTATAACATGTTTTTCGTTGATGTGCGGGTGGTGCTTTATTTGATTTGAGATGCTGGATATTGATAGTCTTTCTCAAGAATGATAGTAACAGTAAGTAATGTAGCTTCTGCTAGGAATGAATGTCAAGAGGGTAGAAACAGACAATGAATGGAATTCTATTACTTCTTATGAAATTTGACTTGTCTTTTTTCTTGTACAATTGATGTTGAGAAATATCATGCCCTCTCATATGAAGCATGTCACGGTTGAGGCATCTACACACCAACATCCCCGCAAAATTGCCTCCCCCTCCTACTCCGATAAGTAAAGGTTCATACTTGCAAACTCTTTCTAAGGTTGAAGGGTTAATACTGGATTTTGTGGGTACTTGAGACTGTTGTAATAATTCATCATGGCCAACCTTAGTTTCAGAGACTTGATTTGATCTTGTATGTTATCTGTTTCTCATTGGTCAAGACATGGTCTTTTGTTTGCAGTTCCTGGATATGATTAATATTCTGCGTTATTCGTTCTCTTGGTTTGACCATGTCTGATATCAAGCTTGTTCCTGTTTCTAGGGGTTTAAACATGTCATCTCTTTGCAGGTCTTGGATGTGATTAATAATTCACATTATTTATACCGGATGACAATACTTAGGGCAATTTCTTTACTTGCACCTGTGATGGGTTCTGAGATAACATGTTCTAAGTTGCTGCCAGTGGTTATTACGGCAGCAAAGGACAGGTGGCTTTTCTTTTCAATTCTTGTTAAAGTCATTATATGCATCAGTTCCTAGATCTAATGGTCCAATTTCATTTCTTCTCCAGAGTGCCCAACGTCAAATTTAATGTTGCAAAGGTGTTGCAGTCCCTTATCCCTGTTGTTGACCAATCAGTGAGAACTCTCATCTACCTTCTTTTCTTGGATTGGTTACTTGGTTTAGTTGAAATAACGATTGAGCTTACTTACGTTGTTGTTTGTTGAAGAAAGTTTACACTTGCATATCCTCGCTATACCTTAGTGCTGACTTTCTAAGCCTCTTATAATTGCCAGGTAGCAGAGAAAACGATTCGCTCTAGTTTAGTAGAGCTAGCTGAGGACCCTGATGTTGATGTCCGTTTTTATGCAAGTCAAGCCCTTCAGTCAATTGATGATGTCATGATGTCAAGCTAGAGATACTTATCTGTTGGGGGTTCAATACCAAAAATCTGTCGTCAAATCCTCTGGACGTCTAGGATTATGCCGTCACACCAGGAAACAGTTGAGGGAAGGCAGAAAGTGAAATACATCTGTTTGAGATTTGGGAGTCTTATTAATACTAATATATATTTTAGGATGTCAAATATGAAATGCTTCCTACAGTAAGCTCAAGTATTTACATGTAAATTGGCTGTTAGACTAACTAATTAGTATCTTTGAATGAATGGTTTTTCTTATTAGATTCTTTCTAGTTACTAAAGGCTGTTATATTTGGTGCTTTGTATAGTAGACCATTTAGTTGGGTCATGGCCATTCTGTTGTATGATCATAGTCCAGTGTAGATGAGTTGGAAGGTTCCAGTAGTTTTTGAGAAGATTCTTATCATTGTGCATTTTAATAAAGAATGCATAATACATAAACGTGCATTTCAACTTGGCCTCAACTGGCATATATGTCCTCTAATTTCGGGTGTGCACAAGTAAATATTTAAACTATTCAAAAGTTAAACAACTGTGACATCCTACGTGGTAGTTCTGCGTCCTATATGAAATCCTATGTGTATTATGTCACATAGGATGCGTGTGTTTTCTTGTTAAACATTTGGATAATTTAAGTGCCAATTTGCTGTAAGATTATTCTCTATTTAATGGTTATTATTCTAGGCTCACTTTTTGCTGTAAGATCATTATATCAGAGAATGTCTGTCATGAAATGAATATTAATCTTATTTTAACTCAAAAGATTAAGAGGGTTTCCATGAAATTTACTTCTTGAAATGAATACTATTTTTCACTAAATTGACATTTGGTGATTGCTTTCAGAAAACCAAAAAGTCATTAGAGATAACTTAGCTAGTAAGAAACTCTGAGAAGACTTAGATAAAGTCATTTAGGAAAAACACAACTTGAGATAAACAAAGAGAGGCAGGTATAGACTTTTAGTTCCATTCCTCGTAAGCCACTTATTTCTTCGACATAAGATATTAAAGTCATCTTCCTCCTTTTTTTCACAAGAAATCGATGTTTGATCCAAGCTTCTAATATGTCAAAAATGTTTATATAATAATTCAACTAAATATATATTTGAAGGTATTTAGGGGAACTTTTGGTGAAAAATAATTACTTTAAAACAGTAATAATAAATATTTTTTACAAGCTAAGATGGTAACTAGAAGCGAAAAAAGTAACTTATCGAAAGTATTTTTCAAGAAGTATGTCTAACACCTGATCTCATGCTTCCTACAATACAAGATCCAACAAGTACATTGGAGACCACTCTTAACATAAAAGCAAACATATGGAACATGTTACGGTTGAGGCATCTACACACCAACATCCCCACAAAATTGCCTCCCCTTCCTACTCGTAGGCTAGATGGAAGTATTTTGCAGAGTCCGAGCAACAGAGCTATAGGCTAGATGGGAGTATTTTGAATGAATTAAGTAATTATGGATAGTAGCAGTAATGGTGGTTGACAGTAGTGGTTGATGCCTAATAGCGGTAACAGGTGGTGGCTGATTATAGTTATAGGCTTATATCTAATAGGTAGTGGTGAATGATGCCAGTAATTAGTATTAATATATAGTACGTGGTGACTGATGGAGATGATTGTCGATAGTAATTATTGGTTGTTACGTAGTGGTGGTTAATGATAATGATCATAAATGGTGGCTAGTGAACCGTGACAAATAAACAATAAATGGCGTTTTCTTAATTTAGTATAAAAATTGTCTATATCAAAAGAAAGAAAACATTAATAAACCAGAGGAAGGTTCTCGCATGCTAAGCATCTTTCACCTTCAATCCTAAAGTAGCAAGTCCGAGCCATTAAGGAACAAGGAGCTAAGTCGACACAGATCTGTTTTCACGCATCCAACTAGCATTGACTTAGTTATGTTTTATTAATCCAAATTAAATAACATAATTTATTTCTACTTTCTTTTGAATATACATTTCTACATGTGTAATGTGCTACTATGATTCAATTGAGATACTTTTTAAATTGTCGAAGTCATAGTACTCTATTATATGAGTATATATTAGTCGAAATTTAATTCATTATGATTAACAATTTATCATACCGCAAAATATCAAAATCAAACTTCAAAATAGTGAACCCTACCATTCAAGGAATATTTTTTTAATATATATATATATATATAAAAGTTGTTTTTATGGTAGTTAACAATCTGTCAATGGGAAACCAAAAAAGAGTTGGAGTTATTAAATGGATGGTTCTTGAATATTAAAATATAAAAGTTGATGAAGTCTTAGTCCTCGCTATATAAATAAAAAATAGTGAAAAATAAGAATTGAAATTTAAAAATCATGATATAAAATTATATGAGATAAAGTTGAAGTTTTATTTAAATATGTAATTTGGATTTTTATACACTATCACAAAGTTATTCTAAAAATAAAATTGAATTTGAGTTGTAATGTACTGCTTTTTTTAATAAAATTGAACATGATCAATATTATTAGTAACTATATCATCATGTTTATATTCCTTGAATATTTCATCATTTCTTTGGTATTCTTGAAAAAAAAGAAAGATATAAAATGGTGGAATTTTCTTTTATAAAATATAAATTTGTGGATTAATATTTGTTTTTAAAAAATATGAAATCATGATATGAAATTCTCAAAATAATTTTTTAAAGAAAATTGGAATTTCAGCTCATGATTTGAAATCGCAAGATAAAATTATTTATTCAAATAGTGTTTTTTAAATCACGAGATAAAACTATATGTCCAAATGCTTAAAGTTGACCTAGTTTTTTAGGCATAGTACATAAACATGACATTTAACTTACCTTCAGCGGACAACTATGACCTCCAACTTTGAGTGTGCACAAGTAGACACTTAAACTTTTATAAAATTGAACAAGTAGACACGTGTGTCCTACATGACATAATACATGCAGGGTGCCACGTAGGACACAAAATTGCCATGTATGGTGCCATGTAGAACGAAAATGTCTATATTGTTCAATTTTATACAAGTTTAAGTGCCTACTTGTGCACACCCTAAGTTAAAAGTCATAATTATCAGCTAACATCAAGTTAAGAGTCATGTGTATGTATTTTTTTTTTTTTTTAAGTCTTTGTTCTTTTTTTAATAGCGATAAGTCTTCCTTTTGATTCATACTCGTAAATGTCTACACACAACCGCAAACACATGTCCTATCCTTTCGCCAATAAGGATTGTGGTGGAGTGGTAACTAATCCTTCATTCTTAATCAATAGTCTCGAATTCGAGTCCCTCTAAATAGAGAGTCACCTATGGTAGGAAATATTTTATCCCTCAGCATATAATTTTTGGTATAAATTAAAATTTAATCGAATTTTAATATGAAAATCGTAGATCATGTGAAAAACCAAAAATAAAAAAATACATGTCCTTCCCTTTTCTACTCAGCCTCAAAAATGCCGCCTCCAAATAGTGACCCAAAATAATGGATTCCAAGTAGATATTTTAAGGGATAAGGCGTAAGTACTCTCTAAACCATGATCGAAATTTTAGAGACGCATCTTAATTAAATTAAGGTTTTATTACTCCCTGAATTCATTTTTTTTTTTTTGTAATTTCATACACCGTTTTTCATATGACACGTTATTTCATGACTCCACATAGGTGAAGCGCGTGAGAGAATTTGTGCCTTATTCCATATTTTAGGGAGTAACATGTGATTGGGTTGAAATATGAGTTTATTGTAGTTGGTGAAGATATGACGTTTGTAATAACTTTATATATATATAAAGTTGACCTAGTCTTTGTCGAAGTCTTAGTCCTCGCTATATATTAAAATAGTGGCAGCAGGAGTACTTTTTTGTTTGATTTGCTCCTAAATTGATAATTTTCAATTACATTTCATATTTAGATACATATAATTAGATGCATTTATTTAATATATATCTGAGATATATTTATTTGGATACCTTGAATATATGTATCTAGGTATCAAAATATGGCAAAAAACTATAATAGAGCTAATGAGATTTGTGTTATTATATATATAAGACATAATACATAAACATGATCCTTAACTTGGTTTCAGCGGACAATTATGCCCTACAACTATGAATGTGCAGAAGTAGACACTTCAACTTCTATGAAATTGAACAAATATTTGTATATAATTAATCGGTTTGGTTCCGTTACTTCTTCGGTTTTTTTGAATAAAACCATAACCAAACCAAATACTATCGATTTTCAAAAATCTAAAACCAAACCCAAATAAAATCGGTTTTATTTTATCGGTTTGGTTCGATTTTTCGGTTTGAATCAGTGTTTATCCAAACCGTGAACACCCCTAATTGTCGCTAATAATTATTGGCTCATTTCCACTTGTGATTACAAAGTTATTTCATTTGAGATATCTCCAAGTTCGATTTTATGGCAATATTCCTGAATCAATCTCAGAGCTTCTGAATTTGCAAACTCTAATTTGTGATGTTAAATCATTGGATATAAATTTATCTCGGAAGATATGGATGATGAAGAACTTGAGGTATATACGTTTAACGGCACCCAGTTATTTACCAAGTCCTAGAATAGATAACAATCTTTGTTACTCTAGTTGTACAAATGAAGTCTTTTCTAGCATCCCCAATTTAAAGAGATTGACCATTCACGCACTTAAAATGTGACATATCATCCATTGGGTAACTCGCTTTATCCATTTAAAATGTGAGTCGAGTCGAGTAATTTATCTATTTTTATTTAACTCATTTTTTGATCGACTCATATTCAATTCGACTGGCTCGTTTGCCACTCTAGGCGATTAAGCCGGTAGTAGGTGAGTCAAGAAAAGAACTTTTAGAACACTGTAAAGATGGTTGTTTTATCGAATGAGAACAAATAAACAACAATTGGTGTTTTTTAAATTAACAAGTGGCCGTCATTATTATACCGACCCACTAATCATTTTAAATAAACAATGACTTCGTAAGTCAAAATAATTTATTAAATACAACAAGATTTTTATAAATACAAATGATTCTTGAATTATATCCTCTCTACTTGTTCAAAAATTATTTTGTTTCAATTCCTCTCAATATTGACTTGATGGAAGCTTATACTGCTGTAATTTCTCTTCTTCAAACTCTTGATCAACCAAATATTTCATTACTCTTTCATGATCACAGTACTGAAATGCTCGATTCTCTTGTGACAGGGATGGCAAATCTAGAGGAATTTTACAATCTTTGTTACTCTAGTTGTACAAATGAAGTCTTTTCTAGCATCCCCAATTTAAAGAGATTGACCATTCACGCACCTTTTAGAGTAGGATACATTATTCGATGTCTTCTCTTGGATATGTCGAGCTTGACAAAACTTGAGGCATTCAAGCTTTCCTGGAGATATAATTATGAAAATCCCATCAAAAGATTTGTTTTTCCGGAATCACTTAGAAGATTGTCTTTAACTAGGTGTTCTAAGTTTATTTGGGAAGAGATATCATCAACTTTTATCATGTTGCCACATCTTGAAGAGCTCAAACTTAAACATTGTCTAGCCGATGATGATGTATGGAAATTGAGTGACAAAGACATATTCAAAAGCTTGAAGTTGTTGTTACTGAGCGATGTAAATCTTAAGTGTTGGGAAGCTAGAAGTGATAACTTCCCTAATCTAAAACGCCTTGTTCTGAAGAAATGCAAGCACCTGCAAGAAATTCCAACAGATTTTGGGGAAATTTGTACTTTGGAATTGATTGAGTTACATGATTGCACCACTACTGCTGAGGCTTCTGTCAGAAAGATCAAACAAGAACAAGACGACTTGGATAATAATATCCTTAAGGTCTACATCCATAACAGCTACAGTAAGTTATAATTCTCTCTTAAAAGTTCTTCGATTCTTCACATTATTTAAAACCTCATTTTTATTAAATCATACTTCTTTGAAATTAAGATGATGACTTGTACTTTTTATCTTGCTTATGCAGCGGATCAAAGAGATCATCTAATGCTATCTTCCGAATTCAGAACCTTGTAGTTCATATTTTTGTTTTAATATTCTGATCGTTTGTTAATTTGATGTTTTAGGAATAAGTATATTTAATACATGTCTCGGCCAATTGTATTTTTGTATTTTGTAAACAGTAACTAATGATGTACTCGTGTAACATCTATTTTGTTTTATGTGATAGTTCGAAATAAATAAGGATGTTCAATCTATTATGCATTGCCTATGGAGTACACTTTGAATCTGTTTTCCTCTGTTCATGTATAATACATGTTTTTCGTTGATGGACGGTGCTTTATGTGATGGATATCGATAACATTTCTCATGGATGGTACTTGGTAGTAACAGTATGTAATGGTGGTCGGCAGTAATAGTTGCTGTCGAATTATAGCTAATAGCAGTGGTGAATGATGTCAGTAATTGGAAATATATTATGGTAATTATGTAATGATGATGATTGTAAACATTCCTTACATTCATTTTTAAGATAGTGAACCTAGTATTAGTATAAACTAAATATTTAGAAGTCGAAACTTTAACTACTCTATTTTGATTAAAATGTAATTGATTAACAAAAGGATTTGTTTCTACTTTCTTTTGAATCTACATTTCTACATGTGTAATGTGTTACTATGATTCAATTGAAACATTTTCTGATTTGTCGAAATTATAATACTCTATTATACGAGTATATATTAGTCAAAATTTAACAAACTATGATTAACAATTTATAATACTGCAAAATATCAAAATCGAACTTCAAAATAGTGAATCATATCTGTAACATCCGACAATTTGAAATAGTTTTGAAGAGGCTTAGAATTGGAAATTTTCATTTTGGAAAGATTTAAAAATCTGGAAAATTTTGGCCAAGTATGGAAAAATGTGAATTTTTGGCCAACTTTGAACAGCCATAAATCCTAGCTCAGGATGAGTTACGTGGAGTTCCAGTTATGGTTTCAAAGTTCGCGGAACGATCTTTCTAACGCCACTGAGTTTGCTCGATTCCGAGTTCGTATGAGTGAGATATGCCCTTTGAAAGTTGGGCAGTTGGCAGGGAATCCGTCCGGGAATCATTAAGGGCATTTTGGTCTTTTCCCTAGCTATTTCTTTTGAAGATATATTGTTATGTTAGG